ACTTTCTCCAGCCCCCACCTTCTGTGCTTACAAGAATTCTGCAGAAGCTTTCATGTTCATTTAATTCTCCCCTCCCCTGCTTGCCTCTCATTTTTCCTGAAAATAATTGAAAACACAGTTCCAATTCACACATTTACAAGGTCAAGAGTCCAGTTCATGTGATACTGAAGCAGGGATGAAAGGTCAGCTTGCCATGTAGTGAACATGTTTTATTCATGGTGCAGCATGGAGGACTGCTTTGTGTGATTCTTATTCCTCCACCAAAAATTAAAATAAAATGATGTGCATATTGGGCTTATATATGGAGTGCTAGCCTTGCATGTTGCTGTTGTAGGTGTTGAGTGTTGGTCCAGATGTCCTCACAAGACCAAAATGACTTGGTTTGCATAATCCAAATATGGCACAGTGTCTTAAATAATTTTAGTTAAAATATTTTTAATATACTGTTTACTTGAAATCACAGTATGTGCCAGTAGCATACAGGATACAGCTTTCATAATCACTACCCAGACACAGCTTATCATGTCATCTGAACCAGGGTGGCAGAGCTTGTTGGAGAAAGGAACAACATCCAATAAACCCATAGGCTGTTCCAGGATTTTTAGAGGGTGGTTTCCTCCTACAACAGGCTATTCTGCCCAGATTTGGATGGTATGACAAGTTGCACCCAGGTGGGGATTACAGAAATTGCCCTAGCATGTACTGTCTTTGAAATACATCAGGGTAGCTTTTTTGATCATGCAAAGTAGCTCTTTGGTACTTGACTCTGGATTTCGGTGGATGAAGTTTCAAACACTGTAGGTCACAAGAGACATACCAAGCCAGTTCTGACAAAGTGTCTAGGATCTTCCTCTTGTGCTGGAGGTAGCTTGATGTCTGTTAATCCTTTTGGTTGACAAGGAAGTACCATGGTCTGTATCTTCCTTGTCCCCTTCCCTGTTGTGGAATGTGCTAAAGCAAAGGTGCGTTTGATTCAGGTAAGATCAAACTGAGAGTCTGAGAGCTGAGCAGGACTTCCGGAGGCATCTTAAAGGTGCAAGAACTTTCCTGGAAACCTAATGGGTGAGCAGTACCTGTTGGAGCATTGTAAATATGAACCTCCGTTTATGCGCCACCTCTATCTGTGTAACAAACCCCATATAACAGCTGCCACATGCCTCCAGTGATCGCATTCTAAGGGAACCAAAACCCTGAGCGATGCGTCCACCCCAGAGGTTTTATTATATATTTATTTTATTTATTTGGGATATTGCTAGGCCATCCAATCACTCTGAGTCTCTGGAAAGCTCACAACATTACTCAGAGGACTGGGATGGGAGGGCATAACGTTCTTGTATGTATATATATGGCAGAATCAAGCGATGTGTCTTCTCTATACGGCAGAGGGGACCAAAGCTGAATAAGCATACAAGTGAAGTACGTAATTTTTTTCAAGGTTGAACATTTATTTTTAGAGCCCCCTCGGGGTCCTTCCCTTCTGCTCCTTTTAGTACTAGATTAGGGAGCATCTAGTACCAGCAGTGCAGTACAGGACACCAAAGGATTATAGTTTTCAATGCTGAGTGGTCATAAAAATCTTATTAATCCGGTGGATAGGAACGGAGAGAAATCAAGGATTTACATGGGACTGTGGGGAAGGATAGACAGTGACAGTGGAGAAGATTGTTAACCAAAGTTTAGCATGCTTCAAAAAAGCAAATTAAAATTGGGTTAATCCAGGACCTTCCACAGACCTCCATTAAATGAAAAGAAAAAAAACAACAACAACATTCAGAGAATGTAGAAGTTTGTGTGTTTCAGGCTTATGTAGGAACATATTTAACGTGGGTAGATATACCTGACAAGACACAAGAATGTGCACAAGAGGTTCTCAATGACTTGCTGCACTTTATCCAAGTGTAAAAAATGGTTTCATGATGTGTTTTAAACACAAACCTAAGTTAAAAATGGATGTGTGTTTATCAGTCAAGGACGCAAGGTATTGTTTGGATGTAGCCTGTGATTTAGTATTATTAAATAAATATGAATTTGCTTCATGTTCATTCCACCCTTTCTTCAAGGAATGTAGAGTGATACACGCAATCTCTCCTCCTTTTATCCTTACAACCTTCCTATTGATGTAGGGTGGTCTAAGCGATGTTGCCTAGCAAGCTTCAGAATGGAGCCGGGATTTGAACCTGCATCTTTCTGCTTCAAGTCCAGCATTCCATCTTCTGAACCACACCAGTGGCAGCAGTGACTAGTAATAGTTCTTCTTTCTATCTTGACTCAAACTTCCTAAATTTTGCCTCAGATGAGCTTTCTAGATGTATTACTCAATGGATATATATCATGCTGCATATCCCTATTTGCATGTCAGCCATTGTGGGAAAGGGCGGCTGCAGAATTTGTGCACCAGAATCGCCATGTCTGCCTGAGTTAAATGTGTTTCTTTGTGGTTCTGAAGCACATACCAATGTCACAACTGTGTTTCTTTGTGGGGGCTTGTGGAAGGTTCTGAGCTTAAGAGATTGTGGCTGCTACATGACATAGGAAGACCAAGGGCCTGAGCCTCTCCTCATGCCTCCTGTGATTTGAGTGCAGGGTTTCTCCAGCTGTTTTTTTATAACAATGCACATGCATATATGCATGTCTTTTTTTGGGGGGATGTCAATGGCCTGGGGAACTGTTTGTTACCAGGTGGAATAAGCAGAGAATGGGTGAATGAAGAAAGGAAGCACCAGATGACCTAGGCATAGCTTGCCCCCAAGTTGCATCTCCTTCCTTAGAAATCGTTGCACTGTGCTGAGGCTCAGGGTCCCCTCTCTTTGAAAGGGTTGTTTGAGTCCAGAGTAGAGCCTTTTCCTTTCTTTATTTTCCAGCTTGATAATATGTCCTAGGGCCAGCCCTACCATTAGGGAGAACGAGGCAGTAGATTGTGTGTGTGTGTGTGTGTGTGTGTGTGTGTGTGTGTGTGTGTGTGTGTGAGTGATGGAAGCAGCAAACAGCAAGGTGTTGGAGAGCATCCTGTGCCATGCAACTTGTCCTTGCCCTCTTAAACTAACTTGCTGTGTTCAAGTGCAGTGGATGCTGCTGTCTCATAACCAGAGCTGAAGAAAGATCCAGCTGCCATTTGTACAGAGGAAGTGCCATCTTGCCCCACCCCCCACCTCCCCGGGCACCATGCAGCAAAATATCTTAGGCCACCTTTGATATATTCTGTGCCAAATCACGGGTGGAGTGAGCAGTTGGATAAAGACATTTTTATTCATTTGTTTACTCAAGTGGGAGTTCTTCAGCTCTGGCCTCTTCAGTTTGGAAATGATTTCTCTTAAGGTTTTTTTTTTGAAAGGCTTTCCTCCTTTGGTGTGATTGTTTTACTGTGGAAAGAGGGCTGCCTTGAACACATCTATGGGACAGAAAAAATCTTTGATGATTTGTTAAAGGATCCAATAAATGTAGATAGATGTGCATATGAAAGAGGAACAAGACAGCTCAGTCTGCATCATAGGCAGACCTAGCTCAGCAGTAGGTCAAGAAGTAGGCTTCCTCGCACCTTAGATAGCTGAATTATTAATTAATTAATTAAGCTTATGCCTGAGCTGCTCCAAGCTGAAGCGCTCTGCTCAGTTCACAAGAGGCCATAAAATAAGTGCATAGCTGTATTTTAGAAATAGTATACATTTTTTCTTGTATGCAAAATTTAAAAAGCATTTCAACAGCTCGAACCATTGTTAGTATAGCTACACCTCTTAAAAGCAACTGACATAAATGACCCATCATGTTGCTAAATATGCTTAAATGCCGGTAAGAAGAGGGCAGTCTTACCCTGGTGATAAAAAGACAAGTGTTGGCAATTTGTGAGGCTTTTGGATTGTGATTCCACACTAGGGAGTCCATGCTTGGCTCATTATTCTGGGACCTCTGGGCTTCCCCTTCAGCATTATTGGATTTGTCTGTGTGTCTGCATTTGGATGGAGCAGGAAAGGCAGCTGAGAGCCAGTTCAGGTGAGAGTGTTGCACTTGGAATTCGGCAGAGCTGCGTTCTAGTTCCCACAAGGCCACAATAACTTTGGGCCGGTCACTAACTCTCAGCCTAACCTACCTCACAGGGCTGTTGTGTGAATAAGATTGAGAGCAAGATGAGGATTATGTATACCACCTTGAGTTCCTTACAGGAAGGAAGGCTGGATATAAATATAGTGAATGAATAAATAAATAAATCTGGCCTGAGCTCAGCTTAGGCAGGGGTAAGGTTCTTTAATATAGTGACAGTTATCCAAATTGTGCTTAATTATGTAAAAAAAAAAAAAAAGTATCCAGCTTGGAACAATGAGAGCTGTTTTTCCAGTGGCAGGCTTGTTCTGTGACATTTTGTTCCCTCATCTTCATGATGTCTGTTAAGGCACGGTTTGCAACATGATGTCAGTGCATTGTGAGTTTTCCCTGCTGCTGCTAGACAATGGTAGGGAAACATGCAAGGCCTGCTCTACATGTGCAGTGCGGTAAGATGGGAAGGAAGCTGTGGAGTGCCGAAGAGGTGAGCTGCAGAAGGGGGAAATCTCATTTTCGGTGCACCCCTTGGATGATTTTATGCCCCTTCTGCTCAAAAGTAGCAGAGCAGGAAAAAGGCAACAACCTTTCTTTTGGCCGTTCTACTTTTCATGTTTAATTGCAAGTAGTAGTTGTCATTTCTTTGCTTTTTGAATGTGGTGAAGCACTCAAAATGGATATGTCTCACCTGCCATCAGAAGTGGCGCCATCCAGAATTCACCTATTTTCTTGTATGTACAGCATGCCTATTATTTTTGTAGAGGGCAAGGAAAAGGGAGCCCAAAGACAAGCAAAAGACAAAGCCTTGCAACAGCAACTTACCTAATTTCTTACCGAATTCATAGATTCATAGCATAGTAGGGTCGGAAAGGGCCAAGAAGGGCATCGGGTCCAGCCCACTGCTGGTGCAGGACACCCACTCACACTGTCCCACCGTACCAACTCTACCCTTACTGCCTTTCTTTCAGGTGACCCTGAGCATCTTCGAACTAGCCACAGCTGCAGGGGTGCATTGCGACATCGACCCAGCCCTGGTGTCTGCCCTTGCCAACCTGAAGAAAGGTAAGAACCAGGCTTATCAACATTTCTCGGTCCTGTCACATGCTAGAGCAGAATCGAGGGACTGCAGATTTTATGCAAGATCCCAGAGAAGGCAGCTTTTCCCTGCACATTTCCAGAGGAGCTGCACAGGGAATCTTTCCAGGCAGCATCTCGGCAGTCATAAATATTTAACTCTGTCTCTTGGAACGGACGCTGCTTGGATGCTGTCACTGCTTTATTTGTGTTGAAAAGGCCCACTCCCAGACTTTGTCCAAGAATATCAGCTCTTCTGCATTTTGCTCAGTTTCCTCCTCAGTTGGTAGCAGCAAACTTCGGACCTCACAATCTGTTTGCATTCATTCAGGCACCTGCATCTCACCAGTGGACTAAAGGGATGCCGCCTCCATACTCGGGGGCACTCATGTATTTAATCACTGCAGACCAAGAGACATGAGCTGCTTGTTCCATTTCTCTTGCAATAGAGTTTTATTCCTATATGTATCTTCTCTCTTTTCTTCACATTGGACTCAAAAGTCCAGGTAGATCAGGCAAATGGTGTCAGTGTGATGATGTAGTCCCCAACAGGCTTAATCCGAGGCACAAGTTTGCTATGGTAGGCAACTAGAATTCCTATGCTGGTGCTTGAGAATCTGTCCTTCTCTTAAAGCAGTACCCAAGCCCATCAGGACAAGGAGAAGCAAGGAGGTGCAGGTCTTGCTGTGCTGGGTCTCTTTTCTGTGCACAAAATCTGCCACCTTCCCAAGGGCAGACCTACAGCACAGCCAGCTGGCTGTAGCTCTCCTTTGCCTGTGGCAGTGCCAGAAATGGTGGTGGTTAGGGCCATCATACTTGCAGCCAAACCTGGTTCCTGCAATAGAGAGCCTCTGACCTAACCTTCTCGCTTACATAGGTATCACATCCTTTCATGTGTTTCTGCTGCTGTGCTTCTTCTCAGCATGTCAGCAAGGTGAGGAACACGCAGTAGTGTAATCAATTTTTTGGCTGACCAGAAGGATCATGGAGGTTTGAGGCTGCCATAGTCATGGAATAATAGAATTGGAAGAGACCAATAAGAGTATCAGGTCTGACCCCTGCTCATTGCAGGACACCAAAGTAAAGCATCCTTTTCCAACTTCTTCCAGTCTTGGACCACTTTTTGCTTCCTTTCTCTTTCCTTCCTCGGCTTTGGGGATTCCTAATTATACCTTCAACCATGCAGAGTCCAGTGTTTCAGGAAACACTTGTAATTTTCCCTGCCACCCTGCAGTGCCAGCCTCACATCTGACCCTGTGCTTCTTCCTTCCATGCTGTAGGATCTGCCTTTGTAAAAGGAGGTTTTCATAAGGCCATCCAGCCTCTTGGCAATAAGGCTGCCCCTTCCTTCTGCTAGATTGGTTGGCCTTGATTCTAGTCTAGCTACTAGTCCCATTCTGCCACCCTGGCGACATTTGAAGGGCAATCACTGTTCAGGTTCAAGATCTTTACACCCCCCAGGGTTTTTGGGGGGTGGGTGGGGGAACTGAGGCTTCTTCCCAAAGGTCTGAGCTTCCAAAAGTAACAGCAATGCCTTGACTACACATGCTTGGAAGAAGGGTAGGTTGGCATTCTTTCTATGTAAGAAAGCCAATCAAAACAGTTATATCTTTTTATGCACACACCTTTTTCCTCCCTCTCCCTCCCCCCACCACACCCTTAGGAGGAATTATGAGTGACTGTACATGTGCCCCTAGAGAGCCCTCTTGTTTGAGGTCTACGGAGCAGTAGTCCCAATTCCCCGCCACACAGCCTTGCCCAACTTGGTGCCCTCCAGGATTTTTGGAAAGTACAATTCCTAGCATTCTTCACTGTTGGCTATTCTGGTTTGAACTGATGGGAGCTGAGAGCAGCATGTTGAAAGAAAGACCGTCATGGCAGGCCATGCAAAATCTTCCTGCTCCTCCTCCTCCTCCTCCTCCATGCAAGGGGTAAGCTTTTCCCCTTCTGTTTTCTGTTTTCACGGCACACACGTGTTGATTCAAGTGAAGCTGAGCGGCATCAGTTCTGTGCAGCTCCCCAGCTCCATCCATCAGATAATTTATCAGCCTGTCACAGTGGCCAGTTTTTGTTTTTTTTTAAGCCACCCACCCTTTGGGGTGGGGGGGGGGGCTAGTCTGTTAAGCAGCCAAACAGGGGAGAGAGGAACCGACAGTGTAAATCAGGCTTATTACTGAAATCTCTTGCTGTTCATCTTCCCTTTTGCCTCCCTGATAGACAGCTCTTCCCCAGAGGAGGACTACAAGGCTGCCTGTCTGCTGATGGTCTTTGTAGCCGTGTCCCTGCCACTCCTGGCCATGGACGTGTCTTCAGTTTACAGCACTGACACAGATGGTAAGAAAGAAAATGCAGCCTGTCAGATTCCTCTTCAGAACCCATTCGCTCAAGCATGCACGTGTACTCTGAGAAACAGCAATGCAGGCCAAGTATTGGTTATCCTACTAGCAGGCAGTGGTAGTTCTTGGAGGAGAGCTCCTTTGGCTCAGCCGTTTGATAGGCTGTCAGGAGTCTGGTCTTGCAGAGAAACAGGGTTGCGTGATCCCTGTTTTGCAGGAAGGGAACTAAGTGGGGGGGGGGCGTTCCTGCAGAGCTGCACTCTGGACAGGCTGCCAAACAGTTAGGGATCTCCTTCTGCTGGTAAACAAGGCACACACCTCCTGGGCACCTTGTTTCCATGCAAAACTGCTGGGATTTGGGGAACAGTGGTGGATGCAGAAATGTTTCATAGGAAGGAGACCTGAATTTACAGAGAGAACCTGTTCACAGTAGTCCATTTGGGTTATTTCTCTAGGGTGTGAGGGAAGGTCTTCCCTAACCTCAGGATGGTGTCTCCCCCTGGAGCTTGTAAGCAAAGCCCAAAGTTGCTTCTGCAAAGGAACGAGCTGCCCTTGGCCAGGCCAGAGCTTTTAAAAGCCCAACTCTGGTTGCATTTCTTAGAGAGTTGCCCTTTCTTTTTCCTTGCCCCAATGCACAATCCCATCCAACTTATCCTAGCAAGGACTGTATATTGTGTCTGTTGCTCACTACAGATGAGAGTTCTTCCTCTACTAGGAGGGGGCTACGTTCTCAGACCACATGGCACCCTGTCTGACTACTTCTGCTGGAGATGGGGAGGGACAGATGGAGTTTTGCCACTTCCAGAAAAGCTCTGGAGGGCTCTCTTTTCCTGTGCCACTTTCAATCTATCTGCTGAGGCCTCAGAGAGCATATTTACTTGTGGTCACCAGCCAGCCCACACCTCACAGCTCTTCCACATTCTTTCCTCACATGAGGTGGATAAAGGTGTAGATCTCTTCCCAGCTCAGTCCCTTGAACATGGCAGGAAAGAATGAAAGGGCTCTCAGAGGCTTTCAACATACTAGAGGATAGGATGTGGCCTACCAAAGACTCTTTGAGACTAGGGGGGAAAAGGACTTTGTTTCTTCCTGTGAATTTTTGTTCACAGGCCCTCACTGAGGGCATTTAACTGACCCAGCTTAAGGACCAGTTTAGTCTTCTGTAAGACCAGCAGTTATGACTTCTGCCACCACTGACCATGTGGAGAGGTAGGCAGGGATTCCTGGATTCTTTCCTTTCTGCTCCAATTATAGTGACAACTTGGGCTTGGTGGTCTACCAGCTACTGTTCCTTTTACTATCTGTTTCACACAGAATCTGGCTATAGTTCTGGTTTTATTTATTTATTTATTTATAGCATTTTTATGCCGCCCCCGTCACAGAAAGCCTTGGGGCGGCTTACAAAGTAGATAAATATAGAGTAGACATTAAAAATCCAGAGCATCTCAGCAACACTATAAAACCAAAAAATAGAAATAGGTTTTGGTTTTGGTCTTTTTGCAAAGTGGGGCTGGAGGTTTTGTTTGCCCTGCAAGCAGGGTAGAGCGACTGCTTCCCTGAAGAAGTAACTTTTGGCTCTGATTCCAATTTCCAGAGAACAGAAATTTGCAATAAGAAACACATTTAGAAACATAGAAACATAACGAGTCAGAAGGGGTCTCCCGGGCCATCTAGTCTGACCCCCGGCCCCAGCCGGCTCCACTCACAACATTTTTATTTTTCCTGTGCTGTTTTCCTTGCAGACAATGCTTAAAACAGAGGGCCCAATCTGCCCTTTGGTTCTATCTGCTTGAGTGACAACAGTTGCCTGTCTTGAAGTCCAGTAGTTCTGCAACTATTAGTTATCAGACACTTGGATTTTTGTACCTTCCCAAGAGATGTATAGTCTAGATTTTCGTGGTTGAGAGTTACAACTGTTTGTTTAAATGGTTTGAAACTGGTATAGGCATCTGTGTCCCTTTCTCTCTGCCGGTAGGCCACAGCAACAATATCCATTGTCTAGCCAAAGCCATCATCCAGGTGTCGGCTGCGCTTTTTACTATCTACAACAAGAACATTGAGACTCACCTGAAGGAATTTCTGATGGTGAGTGAAGCTCTTGAATCTTTCCTGGATGACACATGTGCTGTTTTCCCACTGAGTTTTGCAGGGTGGAGGGGGGTTATCTATGTGCTCATCATAAGAGAAATGTTGACTTCTTTGATGCAATACTGCTAGTAAATATGAGACGCTTTGATAAATGGGCACTGGATTGCAGCCTTAGCATCCAATAGAGTAGTGGTGGTGATGTTGGTGAAGATGATGACGATGCCTTACAACGCCTTTTGCAAGGATGATTGCAATAATTTATGTGAAACTTTGAACCATGAAAGTCTTACATAAATGCCCATTAGTAATAATAAAAGCTGCCACTTCTTTCAACTCTAGCTGCACTTCCTATGCAGCTCTGCGAGCAAAGTAAAGCCAGGAAAGGGAGATGCAACAAACCTGAGAACCAGGGGATAATTTCACTACAGAAAGACCATTTTGGGAATTACATTCTTTTGCTTTCAGTTCCATCTATTTCCCTGCTTTTATTGCAGAATCCTATGTCTACATTTAAGCCTTAGCATGTCTAATGGAGCTTAAATCTTAATAAGTGTGTTTAGAATTGTAGCCTGAAGCCCACATCCACTGAGGCTGAACTTAAAATCAGATTGAAAACTTCTCTACAGCAAGATCTTTCTGGTATCAGACTTAAAAACACCCACTCTGATATTGCAGGATAGAATGTGAGCACTGCCATAAATGCTGCTTTTCTTATTTTAAGAGTCTTTTTGATATGGAAAGAATGAGCACTTCATGGCCTCCCAGATGTTTTGGCCTACAGCTCCCATCAGCTTTAGCCAATATAAGCAATAGTGAGGGATGGTGGGACTTGTAGGCCAAAACATGTGGAGGACAAGTTGCCCACCCGCTTCTGGAAAGGGAAGTCCTTAGAAAGTAAAGTCCCAGCAAAAGGGCTTCTTCATAATTGCTGAGACACTACATTTCTGGGGCAGGTGGCATTGGAGGACTTTGCATGAAACGTTCCCTTCATATCTCCAATTTTCTAGAAGAGATCTCTGGTCCTCCTTATTCTATTGATTTCTTCCATTTCTTTACACTGTTCATTTAAGAAGGCATTCTTATCTCTTCTAGCTATTCTCTGGAATTCTGCATTCAATTGGGTGTACCTTTCTCTTTCTCCCTTGCCTTCTTTCCTCAGCTATTTGTAAAGCTTCCTCAGACAGCCATTTTGCTTTCTCACATTTCTTTTTCTTTGGGATGGTTTTAGTTGCTACCTCTTGTACAATGTTGCGAACCTCCATCCATAGTTCTTCAGGCACTCTGTCTATCAGATGTAATTCCTTAAATCTATTTGTCACCTCTACTGTATATTCATCAGGGATATGATTTAGGTCATACCTGAGTGGTCTAGTGCTTTTCCCTACTTTCTTCAATTTAAGCCTAAATTTTGCAACAAGAAGCTCATGGTCTGAGCCACAGTCGGCTCCTGGTCTAGTTTTTACTGACTGTATAGAGCTTCTCCATCTTTGGCTGCAGAGCACATAGTCAATCTGATTTCTGTGTTGACCGTCTGGTGATGTCCATGTGTAGAGTCGTCTCCTGGGTTGTTGGAAAAGAGTGTTTGCTATGACCATCGTATTCTCTTGACAAAATTCTGCCAGCCTGTGCCCTGCTTCATTTTGTACTCCAAGGCCAAACTTGCCTGTTATTCCGGTTATCTTTTGGCTTCCTACTTTAGGTTTCCAATCCCCCATGATGATAAGGACATCATTTTTTGGTGTTAATTCTAGAAGGTGTTGTAGGCCTTCATAGAACCGATCAACTTCAGCCTCTTCAGCACCAGTGGTTGGGGTGTAGACTTGGACTACTGTGATGTTGAATGGTTTGCCTTGGATTCGAACTGAGATCATTCTGTCATTTTAGAGATTCTATCCCAGTATTGCTTTTCCTACTCTTTTTCCGTTTTTTCCGTTTATATCCTGCCTTTTTCCTACAAAGGGCTCAAGGCAGCTTACATCATTCTCCTCCTCCATCTTCTCCCCACAACAACATCCCTGTGAGGTAGGTTGGGCTGAGAGTCTGTGACTGGCCCAAAGTCACCCAGTTGGCTCCATGGCTGAGCGGGGACTAGAACCCAGATCATCTGAGTCCCAGTCCCATGCTCTTAACCACTACACCACACAGGCTCTCCTTATATTTTATTGACTTTGAAGCCTACTCCATTTTTTCTGAGGGATTCTTGCCTGCAGTAGTATACCTGATGGTCATTTGAATTAAATTCACCCATTCCTGTCCATTTTAGTTCATTGATTCCTAAGATGTCGATGTTAAGTCTTATCATCTCATGTCTATAAGGAGCAAATACCAAAATCATTTACTTGCCTGCTTCCTTGATTTTGCTATTGATCAATTTTATAGAAAATTGGGTTTTTACTTGCTAGTGAAACTACCAACTGAGAAAGTAGCCTGTTTTTCATTTGCTGCAGAAGGACTGAGACAGTTTTAGGGGGACAAACATGTGGTAGACAGTTTCCTAAGGCTCTTTCATTTTCAGTATTGTATTTTTCGTAAATGTGGTCACTCACTCTTACAAAATCTTCATGTATCTGTTTGTTCTGGATATGAGAAAAATCCACTTCCACTTGGTACCACATTCATAGCTTTCTTAAAATAAGCAAGCAAAATGATTTGATAAAAAATTTAAAAGATTTCATAGATTTAAAAATTATAACGATAAAAACATTTCATACCTTTATAGCATTGTGTATATAATACATGCCCATGCATATATGCAGTTTTTAAAATACAAAATGTTTCAATATAAAAGACCAGTTTCAGTCACAAATAGCAGTGTGTTACAGTCCTGCTGAATGGCTGAGCCAGGATCAATTGGGAACAGCAAAAGCTGTGAGGGAACACACATCAACAATCAGCACCTGCATTCCACAGACAGTCAAGCTGTATCAATAAACAACATGGCTTGCATCAGCTTATCTTTTACACTGACATCAGGTGTCAGAATCTGAAGCTGATGATGAGCAGCATCTTTCACTCTGCAAGTGCCTGCAGGACCAGAAGCATCGCTGTAGGTGTTTGCCAGGAGTGGAGCCCATGCAGTGCAGCTGGGAGCTCTGTAACATGCTCTGAAAGGCTGCGCTGCATCACTGTGCTTGTCACAGCATCCTACGGCCTTAGTGGTGGCTGCTGGTGCTCTTGCTCCTGCCTCAAGACTTGGCTGTGGCTCTGGACCAACCCCACCTCGCCAGGTATCTGTCCTTTGCTTCTGGTCCTATCATGCCTTGTCAACATCTGATCCTTGCCAGTTCCTGATCTTGTCTTCAACTCTGGATGTGTCGTGACTTGCCAGACACTTGACTGTTTCTGCCTTTGCTTTTGCCTTTGGCAATCCTGCATTCCACTGAGAGCTGGTCCCTTAATCTTTCTTTTTTGGAGGCTTTTTTGTTTTGCCTTGTAACTCCTCTCCCCCATTGATCACTGTGCAGCACTGAACTTGAACTGTGTTCTCCTCCTCATGGCACTGATCGCCCCTTTATTTAAACCCTTAGCAAAGTTTTGAAACTCTCTTCTTCCTTTTGGCCTGCTTGGCATCCCAGTCATGCATGGCAACATGCTAAACTCAAAGGCTAGCTTCCTCCTGATCCTTGGAAGGAAGGCACCATGCAGCCTAGTTTCCATACTTGGCCCCCTCTCAGCCAGCAGCCTGGACTGCTGTTTTCCAAACAAGTAGGCAGAGAATTTGCAGGATGGCCACAGTATCCACTTAGGGCGTTCTGAAGTCGGCAGGCCACACACCCCACTCCCTGCCCCCTGTGCAGGCACTCACATACCGCTGCCCCTCACCACACACACACACATACATCACTACCACCGCACACTGAGCTCCCAGGAGATGACAGCTTTAATGATACCTGCTGACCCTTCTGTGGGGTTTAACTGCCTGTCTACTCCCAGGGCTTTGCAAATCCTTCCCCTTTGCCAGACAGCTTCCTTCCTGCTTAACCTTTCTGGCTGCTCACGTAGTGCACAACTGTCTTGTCCCATGGCTGGTACTGCAAGAAGAGTTGATCCCGCTGGCTGTGAGTGATGGATAGAGGCACCACTAAGCATGATCACTTTCTTATTTCTGGCCTGTGGGAGTCAGCATGATTTATCTGTTGATTAGACACAGTGGCAGTTTGTATTCCCACTATCCTGATGCCCAGTGAAATGTTTCCTTGCAGCTCATTGTAAAGGAAACACAATTATTAGTCAGTCGGGTGCATTGCAGAGTTACTGGCTGGGATCTGGGAGTGATGGCTGCCACCTTTCCCCCCCAGCAGGCAAAAATTCAACAAGCATAGTCTTTTCCATGTCAGGGAGGCATAGTGAAGGAAAAACACTTCAGATGAATTTCTGCCTGTCATGCACAGCTTAAAGGTACAGGAGGCTGACCAAGACAAGGGGGGCAACTCCTAGTTGGAAGGGAGTCAGTCTCCTTTGTAAGTTGTTCTGGATTCTGGAACGAGCTGTGCGCCTGCTGAGGCTGCCAACCAATTAAATACGCCTTTGCTTTTAAATTTACATATTACACAAAAGAAAGGTGCTTTTATGAGGATTCTGAAATGAAGATGACAGTTTCTCTTTGGCACATAAGCCTTTTAAAAGAGTGCTTTGTTTAAAGGAAAGACATTTTAATTATTTTAATCATGACTGTGTGGGAAAGGCACATGTCTTGACCCCCTTATGTGGATGATTTTCACTGCTGAGTTTCCACTCTGCAGCAGTAGATAGTGAAGTCTTAGATTCAGCAACTTGCCTGGTAGGGGTAAGCAGCAGCTAATTCCACACAGGTGAGTGGAAGGGATGTGGAGGATTGAGGGCTCCATTTCTCTTCCACCAGCCTGCTTGCTTTTTCAGAGAAAGGAAAGCCTTCAGAACCAGCATGGAAATGCAGCAGTCTGGGGGCAAGGTTCCCAGGTCCCCTCTCTGCCAGTTCATTTTGTAGAACCTCACCCAACCACATTTTTAAGGTAGCCTAAAGAGCCAGCAGCATGTATTTCTAGCCAAGCCATGATAGAGGGGATTTCCTTCTACTGAAGGCAGGATTATCTTCTACTGAAAAGTAGTCTATTAACCTCTTAGCAACTTAGGTTTTGTGTGTGTGTGGGATGGGAGCTAGTAACTTTCACTATCTTCTTTGCAAGGCTAAGGTAGAGCTATGGTTCAATTTTTCCTATTACCAAAATTTTAAACAAAGCAATTTCTTATCAACAGATGCAGGTTCATTAGTAGGCACTTAAATTATTTGGAACCTGTGTCTATAGGATACAAATCAGCTAAAATTTACACATGCTAATTCATATTTATACAAGCAAATTTAGAAATAAATGCTTTGTTTCATTTACATTTCACAGAAGGCAAAATTAGCAATTTCATTTCTCATCTAAATCATCTCAAAGAAAATAAATTCTTCCATTAATTTGCACCTTTGTCCAGATCATCTCAAGTCATTAGTTTGGTCAGTAGTTACAATTAATTACAGCTATGTAGAGGGTGGGGCAGTGAATGGTAGTTTCTTAATGACATTTAAAAATACTAACTTCTGTATCTAAATGGAATTCCAGAAATTTAAGAGTGCTAATCCAAAAGCAATTCAAGGGCAAACTGGGAAGTGAATGTAGTTAAAAGCCATCAGGTTGTGTATGATTTATGGAGACCTTATGAATGGCCTAAAAAATATCCTGTCCTTGACAGTCCTGCTCAGCTCTTATAAATTCAAGGTTAACTTCCTTTATGGAATTGAGCCATATCATGGTTAGTCATCTTCTGTTTTTGTCATTCCCTAGAATGGGCAATCTCATGCGGTGCCCGAAGTACAACAGCTTCAGTTTCATCATGCTTGCTTCCAAGGAAAGTTCTGGCTTGATTTTATCCTGTAACTCTAGGGTATTCACAAAGCTCTCCTCTAGGAACATTATTGAACACATCCATTTTCTTCCAGTCTGCTTTCTTCAGCTTTCACACCCATGCATAGTGATCAGAAATATCATACTGTGGATGAACTTAGCCTTGGTCCCTAGTGAAACACTCTTACACTTGATGATCTTTTCTGGTTTCTTCATTGCTGCCCTTCCAGGTCCCAGTCATTTTCTAACTTCCTGGCATTAGTCTCTGTTTGATTTTGGTTGAGTCATCAATTAATTCACAATTTGAGTGTCTTCATTGTTGACCCTGAAGTTGTGATTTTTGTTTAATGTTCAGCTGCTGTCCTGCTTTTGCACTTTCTTCTTTCACTTTCATCAGGAGTCTTTTCAATTCATTGCTGCTTTCATTCATTGCCAGTAATATGGTATCATCTGCATATCTAAAATTATTGATCAATCTTCTGTCATTCTTTACTCCTTCCTCTGATTCAGCTCCAGCTTTCCTTATATGTTCTATATTCAGATTGACCAGATAAAGAGATAAAATACATCCATGTCTGACATTTTTACTATAGGAAATTATTCTTTTTTTCCATATTTGGTCCTAATGGTAGCTTTTGTCCACAGTACAGGTTGTGCATGAAGTGCTGAGACACACCAATTTCTTTCAGGACCGTTGTAATACTAGTTGTAATAGTTCTTTTTATCTCTTTGTAGTAGTTGTAAATAATGCAAATCTGGTCTTTAAGTGGACTTTACTCAAGAACATTATTTACACACATATTGCACACTATGCATTTGTTAGTGATCTTTTTCCAGTTTACTCTGATTTTTGATATGAAGAGTTCAGGAGCACTGCCACAATCTCCTGACCATGCTTTGGCAGTGAGAATACAACTTTTCCATCTTCTACTTTGAATTGCATAGTTTATTTGATTCCTCCATTGGCAATCTGGTTTTGTCCATGTATACAGTTGTCTGGCTGGTTGATTGCCCGAAGTTTGTTTTTGCAATATAGTGTCAGAATCCCGGAATCTCAATTTGAGAAGAGGAAATAAAACTCGGGGTCGTAGGAAAGATCAATCGTTATGAACCTCCGCGTCTTTATTGTCTATCCCAGGTTCCCGCGGTTGACTCACGATAATGCAATTACCGGGCTAGCAGAGATGAACTCGCTGCAAAGCTTCAATACCATTACAGGGCATTTATACCCTCCCAGGTACAGGGCAATTGATGACAGAATGCAGAGATTACAATAAGATTCTGAGGTCATCACATACAGAACAGATAAAGAAATGTCAGTCAATCACACTGTAACAATGAGATTAGTATTGACACTTTAGTTGAGTAACTTAAACCCATCTCCAGGTCTGCTCAGACATGCAAATTCAAGCCACTAGAAACTATTCATGATAAGCTCAGACCCCTATCTCGACTCTAAACATTCTGCATGATCAGGGCACATGAAGCCCTCTGGGCTATCAAAAGATTATTGTAAACTGAATTCCAACAATGACTATAATGGATATTTGGGCTAAAATGGCCTACTGTAGCCTACAGCTAAAGGTGAGAGAAAGGAGTGGGGGAATGCCATTTTAAACAGTGACAGCTCGGTTTTGAGAAGGAAGACAGGATTTGATCCCACAATGCAAAGGCACACAGGAGTAATGCTTTTCAGACAGGATTTACCCAAATTTTCCCAACAATAGCAATGACTGGCTTCAAAGTACAGAGAGAAGAGACACAACTACTTTACACTACAGTGTTTTGATAGGGATTTTATCACTGTGTGTAACTTACTCCTGACATACTTAAAAATCTTTTAAAGCGATAAACAACCAAAGGAATGCTGCCTTCTTAAGTAACACAGTGGAGGCAGAGGGGGAGGTTGTGTAGCCTTTTCCTACTTGGAATCATTCTGTCCTAAATCGTTTCCCTATCTATAGGGAAGAAGTTACAGGGACACAAGGGGAGGAAAGCACCTTGGGGCAAGCAATCTTGAATGGAAAAACAGCTTGAGGGTTAAACACCCCACCCCCACCTTGCTAGCTTGCCAAGTTTGAGTGCAGCCTCCCCCACTGTGTTTCCTTTTAAGCAAATTGGGGCAAGGTTGCATGCAGCTGTGTGCCTCCCTTGAGACACAAAAGATTTCTTTCCTTGAGTATTGTATTCCTTTGTTTAAGGGTGCTTTTTGGAGCATTCAAGAGTGTATTTCACAAAGCCTTGTGACTTTTCCAACTTAACCAGTATGCTTTTTCAACCTGCAGTCTAAACTCTTGATTAATCTGTACCAGTTAAATCTCACAGCTGTAACTGCTGTCAACCAGGCAAATTGATTTGAGTTCTGTCTTTTCTCCCTTGTTTTCCTAGCTGGCCTCTGCTAGCCTCTTGCAGCTGGGGCAAGAAGTTGATAGGATGAAAGCTAAGAACAGGGACTCCGTCTCACTACTCATACATATGGTAAGTTTTGTATGGGGTTGGGAGCTTGGATAGGTGTTTCTGTTGTAACCCGCGGTTTTGCAGATGAGACCAGAGACCGGATGGTAAAATAAAGAGGAGTTTATTGACCTGCAAGATTTCTTGCAGGGACCAACATTCATGGTTAGAATGCGGCCCTGAGCAGAGTTGGAATGAGGTTTTTATAGCTTCACAGTGAGCTTTCGGTAAATGGGAACAATACAATCAGTTTTTGACAAAAATCAGAACAATGGTGACAATGGGGAGTTACAGAATCACATATGCAGTTGAGCAAGCGATATACAGAAGCAGATTTGGTTAGCAGTAAGTTTTATCTTTTAATTTACACCTTTTAGGCAATCTTTGCCCATTAGCCGTTGGTAAGCTCTTTCCATTTTCCGAGGGGAATTCTCTGAGGCAGTTACTAGACATTTGAATGGGCTAGAGCTTAGGAGAGCTAAGCCTATCATGCATACCCTGAGATAGTTTGATTATTCTAGTATTTGGCCGTGTCATGCCTATCTGGAGCCTAGAGGAGTCATGCCTATCCTGAATGCCCTGAGAAAGCTGATAGATATTTCTATTATATCAGGATCCTGGGGAGTCAGGCATAACAGTTTCCTGTATAATAGACTAGAATGGAAGCCACATTAGAACACTTGAGCATTTTGTCAGTTGCAGTTCCTTGAGAGTTCAAAGTGAGACAGTTCTCTAGCTAGGAGCAGACCTGCTCTGGCTTTTTTTTCCCCTTTCCCCTCCCCATTCCCTTTTCCTTTTGAATCTTTTCTGTTAGTCTTTTTTGCTGGGTTCAATCTATTTTACATTGAATTTCTGTATATAACCTATGTCATCCTTCTTTTGAGCCAAATGGAGTTTTTGGATGATGCGACTGATAGCAAAGAAGTCTCCCCATCCAGTCTCCTGGTAATTCCCTACTTTGGCCAGGGCTGGGTGGTAGCACACATGCTGAAGGCAGCATGGTAATCCTGAAGTCCCAGACCTGTAGGACTTGTACAGGATCTGTAGGGGGTTTCTTCTTTCTTTCAGCATTCAGCCCATGTGTATATATCTAGGGTAAACGAATCCTCTTGCATTCTTGCTGCACTGTGGGCTTTGTTTGGGCTTCTGGTTGGCCGTTGTAGGAGAAGAATGGTGGGTAGATAGGCCTTTGGTCTGATCCAGTAGGGCTCTGATTAGGTTCTTGTCTTTGGTATTGGCTAATTCTGTGTATGTGCTGCCACATGTATAAATCCTACTGTATAAATAGCTCCTTAAGGCTTCAGTCCAAAGCATAATACTAGTGAGTAAATCCCATTGAATTTAGAGTAACATACTCCTGAGTAAAGATGCCTAGGAATGCCTATGAATGTACTAAGCCATATTTATTGAGAGTAGCTTGTGGGCCAAAGAAAGTAGCGCAATTATAGTAAAATGAATTGGGGGGAGCATACAGAACTGTAGCATCCAGAAACTGATGGTATATTTAATTCCCACCTTCATCCCACGCAGTCCAAAAGTGCCACTGATCATCCAGGGTGGGAACAAATAGGGTTACAACTTTTATGTGTAAGTTGGCAGTACAAAGTGACAAGTGCCACCTATATTCTCAGTGATGTCCTAACAAACCACCGCCCCATCGCCAGAGCAATTTTACACTTTTAGCAAAAGGTTTTCTTTAATAAGGCCACAATAGATATGTGTGTGACGATTTACATGGTGTTTGGTTTGTTTCTTTGTTTGTTTAAAGGATGTTTGAAGTATGGGAAGGGAGGGGAGGGGAGGTTTGTGAACTGTCATTCAATTTGCTAGGTGCATGCCTGTCATCTCAGCAGTGAAAGGATGGCTGAGGGCCTTTCAGGCTAGTTTCTCTTTTTATATTAAGTCTGTCTTTGCCCCTCCTTGTGGAGAGGAAGATAAGCATTTTCTTGAAGGAAGCTATTTTTCTGGGCTACGGGGAGTCATCAACTGCACAAAGAGGGCCCCAAAAGCAGATGAATCAGGCAGTTCTCCCGGCTGCTGCTTCACCTTGTGCGGCTTGTCTGGAGGGGCTGCTCTGAGATGAGACAGCAGATAGCATTCAGGGCTTGCCATGCTTCCAGATGGCCTTAGTGGGCTGGTGCGGAAAGGACATTGACTTTCCTCTGGCCCAACTTGAAAGATTATTTCAAAGGAGCACTTGTAATAGGTGGACAAAATGCAGCAGAGATGACTATACTAAAGGAAACCTTCACAGGGCAAAGCAGATTAAAGGTGCAGTCCTAAGCATGCTTAGCTGGGAAAACCTCGAATATATCCTAGCATTTCCCAGTGGTCAGAACTTTTTCCTGTCTAAACATGCATAGGATTGCACCCTAAAATACCGAAGCCAAAATACAGAGCACATCCCCTAGAATTAACCAGCCCATTCCTGCTTCTCTCATGGGGAGTCCCCTTGGTTGGCTTCTTCTCACTCATCATCAGAATCCTTTCGTGGGTGTGTGTGTGTGTTGTACATAAACTGCTGAGACACCCTTTCCTCCATAAGCACACCCTGCTTTAAAGCCACCCACCTAAAGCACAATATCCTCCTTGATGCAAGTTAGTTGTCTCCCTGTCCATCCTTCCCAGCACATCAACTTGCTCCTCCTCTTCCTTTCACAAATAGCAAAGAAAGGGTGGAGTGCTTGGTGATACAGGGTGGATTGAGGAGCAGGCCCAAGTGTTAAGTGAAATCTCCAGATGCGCCACAGGGCCCTCCTGGATGCTGAAACCCAGGCTTCACACGGCGGAGAGGGGAAGATGACCTGAAACTGTAGCTGGAAGGGGGAAACTGGTGGACATGAAGGAGTGGGCTTTAATGCACCAGTAATGTCCCACAAATTGGGGGCGACTTGACGGTAATACACTAGCAATGAATACAGCTAACATAGCTCAGGCAAGTGATCCAAGCCAAATGGCATGGGGGACTACAGGGGGGCTGCTGGATGCAGAAGCTTCAACATGTGGCCTGGGGACTTGAGGAGGTGATGATCCAGGGAACTGGTTGACATCTTAATTTCATAAAGGCCAGTCTGGATGGGTTTGTGTGCTGCAGGCTGACTGATGTGGCCTTCTCCTGTGTGAAGAGGAGGGGAGGGGAGGGCTGCGCTGGCAAATAGGTCAAGCCTTGTTGCCTCCTGTTGGTTTTAGGATCATTGGCCTGGGCATCTTGGCTCAGTGGAGAGAGCTGCCCTAGAAGCGCAGGAGGCCACATGTCAGTACCAGAAGCAGCTTGGGTGATGCATCTCCATTAGGAGCTCCCATGGCAGGAGGAGATGGTTATTGATTCTCCTGCTGATGGGAGGAGACGGCTCAGCTAGGGAGCGCCTGGATTCCTGGGTGGGATTGATATTCACTGGGCGAACAGCTTCTGCAGCAAAGCAATTTAAATGCAAATGTTTCAATCTGGAGTGTGTGAATGAGCTGGTTGGTATGATGTTTGTGCTGCTCCAATTGGAGGGGTGAACTGAGACACCACCTTAGGCAACACCCCCCACTGCCTTGGGGCTGCTCGCAGGACAAAGGGGAAAACAAGCAGTGCTGATGGCCAGGGCATGCCGGAGACAGAGATAGTCGGCCAGGTCTGGGTTCCTGATCTCCCTCAAGTTAGGGAAAGGTAGATGTCATAGAGACAAGGAATAGTTTCACAATCCAGTGAGAATGCACAATAGTTTTAAAGATGGTTGAAAGTAGTTTGAGTCTGGCTTCACTTCCAATAGGGAACATTTTGCCTGGCTGTCATCACATTGGCAAAACAGGTTTTGTAGGTTTTTAAACCCCATTTTCTAAAACAGCCCTACAAAACATATTTACCAGATTTGGGATTCCACAAGAAGCATCCATTCCTTCCCTCAAACTGCCTTCTTTCTGGGTTGCGGGAAAACAGAATCTTTCCAGGCAGAGTCCCGAATGGCCCTGGGTGCTGAACCTGTGTATTTTCAACACCCAGGAGGCACAGCCCTGACCTGTGTGTCTGCTGCCAGTGTCAGATAAGTGAGCAAGCGCTTCCTGTCTCTAACATCACCTGTGTGTCTCTTTCAGCTTGTGGAGGAGTCGTCCTTCTTGACCACTGACATGCTGGAGACCTGCTTCCCTTACGTGCTGCTGCGCAACGCTTACCACGAGGTCTCCAGAAGCTCAGCCCTGAGCCGCCTCCCTACACACTGACGACCTTTCCCTTCCCCTTTTGCCCAAAGGAGCGTGAAGGGTAGCTGCCCATCAGCACGTAAATGCAGACCTCTCTGAGGGAGGCCAGGCAGAGCACAGGGCAGACAGTATAAGCATCTCCTTTGTGTACCTTAGTTTGCTGTCTAATGGCAGTAGCTGTTCTCTCAAAAAGCAAATGGCTTTGCCTTGGCAAGAATAACCTCTTGTTCACAAAGCTGGGTGGTGCTCAGCCACATCCTAATTTATATAACATGCCCAGCATGGTTGTCAGATCCTCTTAGGGTATATATTAGCAATGGCCACAGGCGCTGCGCTTTAAAAACCAGCCATGATTGGGCAGCCTTAGGATCCTGTCCACCTAGGCGCTGCCCAGTGAGATCACCATTGATTTACCCTTTAAGATGCAGTTTCATGCATATTCAGATAGAAAAAACACCCTATTATTCCCAAGCATGCTGGATGGAGAATGCTGGGAGTTAGAAGACATTTGTCTAAACATGCATAGGCTTGCACCCTTGTTCCCCAACCAACCTACAAAAGCAAAGATTATATATATAAAGACGTTTGCACATATTCTTCCCATCTCTCTTTCCCATTCTTCCCATCTTTCTGCCCTCCCCTGTCAAAATTTAGGTGGTAAGTTACTTAGTGTAGGAACTTAGCTTCTCTTAAGCTTTGCTTTTAATGTGACTCTACAAATAAAGTGCCAGGAATGCCATCAAGCACTAGAGAAGGAATCAAAAGCAATGACAATTACTCTTAGCAACAAAACACCACCCAAAACACCCATATAATTTCATAATCAATACATATGTCAGAGTTTTAGGCAGATTTTACTGTAATGTCTTTCCTTTGGGAAAAAAAAAATCTAGAAATTGTGTACCTGCAAGAAAGCTAGGAGAGAGTCTGGTTTTTTTCTGTTGTGTGCACAATTGTTTTTAATCTGTGCAACCTTCAGTAGCTACAAGGTGAGAAAAGGGCCAGCCCAGAGGGGGGTGGGTAAGTGCAGCTGATAAATGAAGTGTGTGTGGGGGGAGGGGGGCTTACACTGTTGTCCTTCTGAACCTATCATGGGTGTGTGTCGGGGGTCAGCATTTACTGCCTAAACCACTCTGGGGGCTTGTGTAACCTAGAATTGTAGATATTTGAAGGGACCTCTAATGTAACCTGATTCCTTCAGGCAACCATAAACTATAGTCCAAGCTTAAACTGTCTCGCCTCTTTGTTCAGAAATATCTTGGCTTCAGCAGGACTGACATCCACCTTTGCCATATTAGACATGTTTGCTGCAAAAATAAGCTGAAAAGGTTCTATGCATAATTTGAAAATGCATTTCAATTACTTTTTATTGAACCAACGATTGAAAAAACAGTATCTCATTTGCCTTGTGTTTCTTAGGGCTTAACATGCAAACAGTTATGACAAATCCCTCACAGCTACTCCATCTAAGAAAGGGCAGCTTCAGAAGGGGGTGGATTTGAAATAGGGAAGCAGCAGGGAAAGGAGTACTTTAACCCTTCTTCTGCCTGTCTCCTTTCTGCTGCAATAGGCCTTTCATGAGCTGCTTTCCCCTCTCTTGTGCCAGTAGATGCCGCTGCTTCCTTTACCAGAGGAGGCATGGCTGCATACACCATTTGTGGAGGGGTCTGGGCAGGCAGAACTCTTGTACTCGTCTTGCTTGAGGGATCCTGTGGACAGCTGGTTTGCCACCATGTGAACAGAGGGATGGAATGGACCATTTGTCCCTCTAGTTGCCAAACTGGACATGCACCACCACTGTTTAAGGTGGTTTTATTCAGATGCAATCCTAAGCCAGGTTTAAGAGACGATGGCACAATGAACTTCAGGCTCTCATGCAGCACCTACCCTTGACATGTAGCTGTGAGGCCAGTTTAGAAGCACTCTTCCATTTTCAATTAAAGGTCAAGTGTTGTGATATCCAAGTCTAGATGAAATGTGGTGACTCTTAAGGGTGAATTTGTTGAAAGTCTGCCTCGGATCATAGTTTGTGAAGCTGACCTGCTTTCACTAACCATAGTTAGGGCTTGGATTGCCATAATCTAAAGTGGAAGTAGAAGCTTCTGACCTTACAACACAGAAGGAGGAAAGGAAAGTGGGGGCATGTATAGGTTTAAGACTTCCTGTGGCTTGTTTGCATAACATTAAGCCATGGCCTAATATTATATCCACATCCAGTCATTTTCTAAGAACATAGGTAGAGCCATGCTGGCTCAGAACAAGTACTCCAAATACCCTAACTTTTTCTCTAGGAATGGCAGGATGTTCCAGACCCTTGATCACTTTGCGTGTCCTTTCTCTATATGACAAGATTTTCGGAACAGTGCTATGACTCCTTCCAGCCATGAAAGTCCTGTCAGTTTACATCCTGGCTTTCCACTGAAGCACGTTTTAGCCTCTAAAGTAGGAGGCAGGCATCCTGCTCTTGCTCCCACTTGGCACTGGAGTGCTGCTAGAATAGAAGCTGTCCTTAGTGAGCCCTGCTGATTAGAAGAGAAGAAGTACTGCTTGTAATGGTATTTGGTTAATCTCTGGTTCACTCCTGGTTCTTTTGTCCTGAAAAAGGATTGTGTTGTGCTTGGGAAAATACAGAGAATGGGAATTAGTAACTTTCCAAATTAGTAGACAAATGTAAAAGCATCAAAGAGGCCAGAGGGAGGAATGAGAGCTTTCTAAATTCATGGATGGTATGGGAAAAAAGCATACATTAGGAAATTTGTTCCCTTTCACAATACTAAAGCTTGAGGACATGCTGGAGTGAAGAAAGTGCTGCTTTAAACAATACATTGAAGTGATTAGGCCAAAGAATTGGATTGGCTAGTGCCTTTTTGGGTGGGGGGAAGGCTTAGATAAGCACATGGTGTGCTAGCAGCTGAATAAGGTAGTCTGCAGTGTAATTTCCATGTTCAAAGACAAGTCTCTGACTAGGGGATACTGGATCTACACAGTGAATATGTCCTGCTTGTCTTATATCTGGTTGGCTGTTGGGAGAGGACAACATACGGAACACCATGGGCCTTTGGTTCAACTTGGGGTGTGCTTACTTTCATCTGAGCCCTGAATAACCTAGAAGAATAGCTGGGGAAAGGAACTAAAAACTGGCACTAGAGACTATTGGAAGTGGTAGCTTGTCAACAGAGAACTTGACTGAAGAGAGGAGAAGAAGAGCTGTTCATTGGTTCTGCTTTGCCTAAGGAGCTCAAGACAGTCTTCAATGGCTTCTCTTCCTTCCCATGCCAAACTGCTGAGGAGGGGATCAGTGCTTTCCATTGGCTTAGCAATCACATTGTTTTGGTTCAGAGCAGCCAGAAGGAGCCATTAAACATGAGTTATAAACCTGCCTATCCAGAGCTGACTCATTCCTGGAAAAGCTCCAGGCAATAGAGAAGAGGCAGACTGACACACATGAAAACGTCAACAAGACCCTTCTGACCATATGGATATCGACAGGGATCTGTCTAGGATGGAAACTATAGCAGCCTCAGGATCTGTGTAAACATTGCTCCATGCTAAATGGAATTACGTGCTCACAGCTTCAATTGCGTGCTTGCTTTCTGGGAAGTAAACCCCTCTGAACTCACTTTTGAGCACACTTTGCCACTTTTGAGGCAACTCTCATAAAAGAGACACTCAGAATGAAGGACCGTAGTGCATGGGTAAAAAGCTTTTCCCCTGACATGCTTGTTTCTCAGGTGCAACACACACGGCCCATGATTTAGATGCCACTGAGAAAATCCACGACTGAAGCCTGGCTCTGCAGCAATGAGAATGGGTTCTAGGTCTAAACTCAAACCTAGGTGGCAGCCTGGTTGCCTCCTCCCGTAACAGTTCAAACTAAAATGGGATTGGTCATGATTCCACCATGATTCCACGGGATTGGCCCATGATTCCATGATTCCAAGCCCTCACCCTTCCGTGACGTTTCACAACAGAAGTTCTACAGTGGAAGTACTGAAATGGACAACAGAAAGGCCTCCAGTAAGTCCTGCCTGTTCAGTACTGGGAGCAAAAAAATGGTCAGAATTCGATCTTCATGGTATTACAGTAGCTCTTTGGGACAAAGGTAGGCACTTGGGTGCTTTCCAGATGTTTTGGCCTACAACGCCCTTCAGCCTTTGCCAGGATAGCCTACAATGAGTCGTCATGGGAGTTAAAGGGCAAAAGGTCTGGGAAGACCATAAGGAGCTCATCCTGTTCTGCAGTTTGAATATGCTCTCATGGCAACTACTTTTCTGCTCCCTGCTAACTGTCGTCTTGTTCCAAAGTGCTCATCACAACTGCTTTGCCGAAGCTGATGCTGCATTCTTATTGCAGCTACATTGGATGCACATTTGTTCCATCCTTCTTGGTCATGGTCCCTGCATCATTCACATGATGAATAGAGGAACCTTGTTTTGCCTATGTAGCATGTTGTCATTGTTAGTCGCAAAGTCGTGTCTGACCCATTGTGACCCCATGGACAACATTCCTCCAGGCCTTCCTGTCCTCCACCATCCCCCGGAGTCCACTTAAGCTCACACCTCTTCAATGACTCCATTTAGCCACCTCATCCTCTGCCATCCCCTTCTTCTTTTGCCATCTATTGTTCCCAGCATTAGGCTCTTCTCCAGTTAGTCCTTCCTTCTCATTAGGTGGTCAAAGTATTTGAGTTTCATCTTTAGGATCTGGCCTTCTAAAGAGCAATCAGGGTTGATCACTAGGACTGACCGGTTTGATCGCCTTGCGGTCCAAGGGACTCGCAGGAGGCTCCTCCAGCACCACAATTCAAAGGCCTCAATCCGTTGGCGCTCAGCCTTCCTTATGGTCCAGCTTTCACAGCCATACATTGCAACTGGGAAAACTATAGCCTTGATTTGCCATAGCTTTCCTCCCCAGGAACAAGCGTCTAGATTTGCCATAGCTTTCCCCCCCAGGAACAAGCGTCTTTTAATTTCTTGGCTGCAGTCCCCATCTGCAGTCATCTTGGAGCCCAGGAAAATAAAATCTGTCACTACCTCCATTTCTTCCCCATCTATTTGCCAGAAAGTGATAGGACCAGATGCCATGATCTTAGTTTTCTTAATGTTGAGTTTCAAGCCGACTTTTGCGCTCTCCTCCTTCACCCGCATCAAGAGGATCTTTAGTTCCTCTTCACTTTCTGCCATGAGAGTGGTATCATCTGCATGTCTGAGGTTGTTGATCTTTCTCCCAGCAATCTTAATTCCAACGGGTGATTCATCTAGCCCTGCCCTTCTCATGATGTTCTCTGCATACAAGTTAAATAGGCAGGGCGACAGTATACAGCCTTGCCGAACTTCTTTCTCAATTTTGAACCAATCAGTGGTTCCGTGTCCAGTTCTCACTGTTGCTTCTTGACCCGCATATAGGTTTCTCAAGAGGCAAATAAGATGGTCTGGTAGCCCCATCTCTTTAAGAACTTTCCACAATTTGTTGTGATTCACACAATCAAAGGCTTTAGCATAGTCAATGAAGCAGAAGTAGATGTTTTTCTGGAACTCCCTAGCTTTCTCCATGATCCAGCGTATGTTGGCAATTTGATCTCTAGTTCCTCTCCCTCTTCAAAATCCTGCCTGTACTCCTGGTAGTTCTCGCTTCACATACTGCTGGAGCCTAGCTTGTAGGATTTTGAGCATCACTTTGCTAGCATGTGAAATAAGTGCAATGGTACGTTAGTTTGAACATTCTTTGGCATTGCCCTTCTTTGGGATCGGAATGTAAACTGATCTTTTCCAATCCTGTGGCCACTGTTGAGTTTTCCAAGTTTGCTGGCATATTGAGTGTAACACTTTTACTGCATCGTCTTTTAAGATTGTGAATAGCGCAGTTGGAATACTGTCACCTCCACTAGCTTTGTTGTTGCTCAGACTTCCTAAGGCCCACTTGACTTCACATTCCAGGATGTCTGGCTCGAGGTCAGCGACTACCCCATCGTGGTTATCAGGGATGTTAAGCCCTTTCTTGTATAGTTCTTCTGTGTGATCTTGCCACCTCCTCTTAATCTCTGCTGCCTCTGTTAGGTCCCTGCCATTTTGGTCCTTTATCATGCCCATCTTTGCATGAAACATTCCCTTCATATCTCCAATTTTCTTGAAGAGATCTCTTGTCCTCCCTATTCTTTTGTTTTCTTCTATTTCTTTGCACTGTTCATTTAAGAAGGCATTCTTATCTCTTCTGGCTATTCCCTGGAATTC